GGGGCAAGTAGACCCTTCCTTGTAGGGTAGGATACAGTGACGTGGGCTGTGTCTAGAACAGGACCTGACACTCGAGAAGGGTCCATAGTAAGCACTTAGTCGTCACCTCCTTCCCAGATGAGCTGGTTTAAGTCCACTCCAGCTTTTCTTGAATTCTCACATTAGCCATGGTTGGCTTTGGGTGCCTCTAGGCCCCTCAAGGCCATGCCGTGGGGGTTAGAGGCTCTGAGAAGGCCTCTGTCCTGTCTCATTGAACTGGAAAGCTCTCTAAAACCCAGAGGCGCAGCACACCAATCCAGCCGGGCTACAGTCCTGGCATGGGGACCAAACAGTGACTTTGAAAATGTGTTTTCCTGGATAAAACCTCTAATTGGACAATTGTAGGTCTTCTGGCTTTATGTAGACTTTATGACTTTGAAAGCTCTTAAGCTGGGGCGAGGGAAAATTTATGAATGGGATTTCTTTATTTCTGTAGCACTCTGACTCATGCTGTTGACCCAGCTGGGGGCTGGGATTCCATGACTTGTTAATTTCTCTTTGCCAGGTGGTCCTTGCTCTGCCAGCTCCCTTTGTGAGCCACAGCCAGGGGTGCCGAGACCCAAAAAAGGGTTTCTGGCTGCTTACAAAATTGTCCTGGACCCAGATTGATTTCCCAGGCAAAGGAATATGGTGCCTGGGAATTTCTTAGGGAAGCTTTACAGTTTTCTCTTAAAATTTGAAAGCTTATTTTACCAGGATTTTAAAGTCCTTTTATAGAAAAAAGTCTCACAGTTTGCACTAAAGGCATCTGGCTTAGAGGGAGGGCTGTTCCCAGAGCTCTCTTGAAGGTAAGCGGCACAGCTACAAAGACATGTCTGAACTTTACTTAAAAATTGTGTTAAGGTAATATGAGCTTCTATAACAAAAAGACCCCAACATGTACACAAGCTCAGACACAACAGAAATGCATTTCTCATTCACGAACTAGTCCAAGGCTGGCATTTCTGGTTTGTGAGTGGCTCTCCTGGAGTGAGGCCTGGAGAGGTCAAGCAACATGCTCATGGCTCAGTGAGTAGCAGGGTTCAAATTTGAACTCAGGTCCAGAGAGTCTAAAATATTTCAACTCTACATTCTCTTGCCACTCATGATCCCAACCCTCCAACCCCCGTGTCGAGCCATGTAAGCTGCATTGGGAAGGACATTCAGAAGGAGGCTGTAGTAATACATGTCATTACCAGTGGGGGCTCAGTTTAAAAGGTTTAGGAACCCAGGTTCCTTCCATCTCATGACTTCACCGTCCTCAACAGATCCTTGAACTAACCTGCTAGCCAGTGGAAGGTGAAAAAGAACATGGCAAAGGCTCACCCACTTCATAAAAGCCTCAGCCTGGAAATGGTCCTCATCACTTCTTGCATTTCCTCCGTGAGGTCGCATGGCCATCCCTAGATGCAAAGGGCGGTGGGAACTGTAGTTGTTTTCTGGGAAACCCCTTCACATGGACAACCATGTGCTATGGAAGGGAGAACGTGAATGTTGGAGGACAATTAGTAATATTTGCTACAGAAAGGGAAACGTACCAGCTGAGGCCACGAAGGATTACATAGAGTGCCATCACATCTAGTGCCATGAGGGCCATCACTGTTTTTGTCTGAGAATCCCCAGCCCTGAGAACAATGCTGAGTATTCAGTAAGTGCTCAGCAAATGTTTGAATGAATGAATGAATGAATGAATGAATGAATGAATATTCTATCAGTTGATTTCTCTGTTCTCTGGCTTAGGCCACCTAATAGAAAGACCAGATTTCTGGCCAATTGCTTCGGGCCACATGGAGAGTGTGCCTATTGGGCCCGGAGTCCAAGGGTTGATCAAATGTTCCCCACAAAGAATCTAGACACTTCTAGTTACTTATCCAATTTACAAATTGCTTTAATAGAAGAGAGTAAAATTATATAAAGTTGAGACCATCCAAAACAGTCTAGAATGTGGATGGTGTACCCAAGAATCCACGGGATTTCTAACGAGACGTTCCCCTAGAGGACGAGGAGCTCCGCAACTGCGCACGTAAACACGCCGAGCACCTGACAGTGACCGCCTGGCACTGGGCACTGCAGGAAAGCGTGCTGGGAATGATTAGTGATGTGTGCCCAGGCCAGGGGAAGGGCAGTGCTAAGCCAAGACCCATGTTTTTGAGAGAACTTATCAAGTCCAAGATTCCTGTGTTTCCTATGTAGGGGTGAGGCTCTAGGGGAGAAGAGGCGGCAACTGCCACTGGAGATTACATTGGGAAGGTCTGCATAAAGAGGTGATTGGAACTAGAAACTAAGGAGATGAGGACAGAAAGAGGTAGACCAGTCGGAGGAGAGTACGCCGGAACCGTCTCTTGGAAATCCAAGAAAGCTAAGAGCTGGAGACTGGTCTGCTAGCGTGGCTCTTCTGAGAGAGAAAAGTGGCGGCGTGGCATGGGGTGTGGAGTGGTTTGCAATCGGAGGGAGGTGCTTCCCACTCAGCTCGGTCAACACTCAAGGGCTGTAATGAGCCAAATTGTTTCCCCCTGATATTCATGGGCTGAAGCCCTAACCCCCAGCCCTCAGCCTGTGACTGTGTGTGGAGACAGGTTCTGGAAAGAGGCAACCAGGTTAAAATGAGGTCGCTGGAGTGGGCACTAATCGGTTATGACTCGGGTGTCCTTGTAAGGAGATTAGGACATAGGTACACGCACAAAGGGAAGACCATATGAAGACACAGCGAGAAGATGACCATCTGCCAGCCAAGCAGAGAGGTCTCGGAAGAAACTAACCCAGATGACACCTTGATTGTGGCTTTCCGGCCTCCAGAACCGTGAGAAAATAAATGTCTGTCGTTTAAGCCACCCAGCTGTGGCACTTTGTTATGGCAGCCCAGCGAATGGGCACAGTGGGGAAGTGAAGTCTGCCGTTCTTGCCCATCTTTCTCCCCAGGGCATGTGCCATGAGTTGCATGAACTCAGTGGGTGGTGGGCAAGTGGCTGGAGGCTCTCTTTGGAAGCTTAGAGCCTGCAGGCACCTCATGGTGACCTGGACGCAAAGGGCACCATCCAGCCCATGAGCACCATGACTCACCACCACCTGGTCTCTCCTCTCTGCCTCCCTGCGCTGGCCGCCGAAGGTCCAGAGACACGTGGTCACGGCCCCCGACCCGGTGAGCTCTGTCTGGACAGAGAAGTCCTGTATTTCCCAGATCCTAAGATGACATTGATTCCAAAATACTTTATCAATTCAGTCACAGTGTTCCAGGAGGCAAGAAACACTGAGAAGCATGGATTGCAAGAACCGTCCTGATCTGGGTAAAGTTAAATGAAACCCCAGCGTGTCTTTGAATCAAGGAAGTGAGAGCGATGGTCAGAGACCGGGCAGTGTGCTATGAGGAGGAGGGTGCAGGGGAGGGCGTGATTGATTCTGCCTTGGGAGGGAGGTCAGCACCCTAGCGAGGGGACTTCCGAGGAGGAGTATGCGAGGCCAAGCAGGCAGGAAGGGATTAGAGCAGAGGGAAGATCAGCCTGCCTGCAACAGTGAGAGTGTGCGTGAGGGAGCGGCAGGTGAGGCTGGAAAGACAGACGGAGTGCAGGCTGGGAAGGGCCTGGAATGGCATGCCGAAAGCTCTCAACATCTTCTAGACCAGAGGGTGGAAGGTGAGGCTGCAGGCCAAGAGAGAGCCCCGGCTCTGTTCAGAACGGGTGTCCCCAAAGCAGATCAGCCACGGCAGCTCCTTCTCCTCGGCTCCCAGCGGGGGCGCACAGATGCTTGGTAACCAGGCGATGGTCTATTTAAAGCCACTCTGAATCGGTTCTAGAAGGCACATGAGGATGGAGAGGGAGAGGGGGAAGGAGCTTGTCAGGAGGAAGAGAATCCCTGAGGGGCACGGCTCTGCCCCTGAGCTCACTGTGGGGCTTGTGGCAAGTCCCCGCCTCTCTGGGATTCGCCTTCCTTGGTACCTTAGAGTGGAAAATCGTGGGGGCTCAGGAGTCAGCTGCGTGGGTCTAAGGCTGGGCTTCATCACTCATGATCTGTGTGCTTTGGTCAAATTACGGGACCTCTGAACCCAAGTCTTCTCGGTGAAATGGGGGTGATAATAGCACCTATCCTTTAGAGTCACTGTGAGGATTTCAGTGTCTGGCACATGGAAAGCACTAGTGTAAGAAATTGTGGTGATGACGATGATTGTGTTGGACCTAAAACCATGGGACCTTTCCTCCAACATATTTGGAATGTCCATGTGGAAGAAGGGTCGCATCGAGCTCTTCTGGCTGAAGCAGGTGGAGACTCTGAGCCCAGGCCCTCAGCCCCCCTTCCCCAGGGCTGTCCCCCAGCCTGCCTGGGCACCTCCATAGAACCTGAGGGCTCTAGGAAACCCAGCTTGAAAGCAGTTGCCCCGAGAATCTCTGAGGTTCCTCCCGAAGCTGGAGCATGTGTCCGGAAAAGCTGTCCTTCAGAGCTCAATATCCATTTCCCAAAAGCATCAGCTGAGCCAGACCCCAGGGAGAGTGTGGCCAACCGAAGTCGACACGGAGAGGTGAGGGTCATCCCAGCAGCAGCCCTGACTGCAAAGGCCCACGGACAACCAATACCGCCTCCACCTGTTACATTATGGATTCTTATTTAAGAAATTTTACATGTGGTGGTTCATTCCACTGCCCATCACCTTAGTTCCTCCAAAATTTGAGTCACAACTTATTTTCAAGATAGGCCTTTTTAAAAGATCCCCTGTCGAATCCACAGTTGTTCTGTCCGTCAACCTTGTCACAATTTTCTTAGTTGGGGTGCTTTTGTCTCCACTTGAATGTCGACGCACTGATGACATACTTCATACAGTTTCCCGTTAGACTCTTTGGAACCTAGTTTTGACTAAATTCGCGTTAAGGCTGCAGAAGCTGGGCGGCAGGAAGGAGCTTGCTGTCTAGGCCAGGGATCTGAAATGTATTATCCCTTACTACATTTCTAGTATTGCGGTGGTGTTACATTCCATCTCCCTCCTGACATTAGCAAAACGGTACAGGTCTCATTGTCACCCTTGCAATACATTGACTGTGATGGAAGCATAGCCCGTGTCTCGGTGTAGCCGCATTAACAATTTCTGGCCACCATGATCAACAGTGCCCAGTCTCACCAAGAAGGAGGCTCCACATTTGTTAAGATAAGTCAGGTAGATGTGGCTGTCCTCACCAGTCACAGTCCGGCATAGTTTCTCATCCTTTGGCTTCTGGGTGGTCGACACTACCATTGCCCTGTGAGTGGTTGTCTGTCTTCTCCACTAAGGACCTGCATCTTGTTCTTTCATCTCCAATCCCCAGCATAGGTGCCCAATAAATTTATATTGGATCAATCAAATGGAATTAAATATGGATACCTCTATGGGGCTGACTCAGCAGTGACTCAGACAGACCTGGATCCTGACCGCAAAGAGGTTATTGTCAGGGAGGGAAGATAAATAAGTACAAGTGTGATAGGGTTCATGACTTATTATTGACAGAGATAAAATTCCAGAGCCCAGCATAACTGTTGCGGACCCCAGCCTCCACAAGAGGTGGGGGTTTGCCTTCAGGATCTGCTAGCACTGGGCCTTGGGGTCCTGAAATGGAAGAGCTTGCGTCCTGGGACCTCAGAGCCCACTGTGGAGTTCTGCCCAGCTTTTTTGGCGTAAACAGAAGACTGACCCCTTGTGTTCACTGTTTCATTGCACATGCACTTTTGACATTGGCCTTTTGGCTTCCTTGGCAGACTTTGAGGCCATAGTGAGCAAAAGCTGGGAGAACAAATCCCCAGCCTGTTGTCCAGACCCCATCTCCCTTGACTGCCTTCTGCTTTTCCTTAATTTGCATCTACCTTTAGTCACATGCCAGTTGCTTCAACCACCTTGGGTTTGGCACTGTTCTCCAAGTACTCTCATGCCTGAACGATCAGGTTCTCTCTGCTGGGAATGCTTTTTCTTGCACTACTACCCCCTTTTATACCTACTGAGCTCCTACACATTCTTCAAAACAATTCCAAATGTCACTTCCTCCAGGAAGCCTTCCTAGATTTCCTCAGTTGGGATATTTCTGCTCCTCTCTTGCCTATGCCCTCATAGAACTTATACACATATGGCATTCTGCTTGGATTTGAGTTAAATCTTTTACTTCCCTCACTATGTTATAAGCTCAATGAGGGCAAAGATTTTTATCTTATTGGTTTTTATACCTGCATATATGTGAGAAGTTCATGGATTTGGGCTTCAGTTACTAGGTTTTTCTGGATATGTGAACTCAGATAAGTTATCTAATGTGTCTGAGTCAGTACTTCAGTCTGTAAAATGGAAGTAAAAAAACAAACACCCTTTCCTCACAAGCTTATTGTGAGCATTAAATACAGTGGCTTGTATGAAGTAACAATGACAATGAACTCATAATGATGAGAGCTAACATTAAGTGCTCACTTAGGCACTGATCTAAACTCTTTACAAGTAGCTCATCTAAAACATAGGTTTGCAGGAAATTACAAAATGATACAGAGAGAGCTCTTTTTATAAAATTGATTTTAGAAAGAGAAAAGAAGAGAGAGAGAGAGGGAGGAAACATCAACCGGCCGCCTCCTGCATGTGCCCCAACCAGGGATTAAACCCACAACCGGAGTATGTGCTCCAACCGGGAGTCAAACCCGCCACCTTTCAGTGTACAGGATGACGCTCCAACTCACTGAGCAACATTGGCCAGGGGCAGAGACATCTCTTTAGCTTTTGCCCAGTTTTCTCCAATGGTTGTATCTTACATAGTTACAGCACAGTATCAAAAACGGGAAACTGACATTGGCATGATGACATGCGGGTATAGTTCTGTATCATTTCATCACTTGTTTGCTTTGTGTAACCACCAGTCAAGACACAGAACTATTCTCCCTCATGCCTTCCCTTTATAGTAGCACCCGCCTTCTCCCCTCTACATCCTTAACTCCTGGCGACTGTTAGTATGTTTTCCATCTGCATGATTTTGTTATTTCAACAGTGTCATCTAAACAGGATGACACAGTATGTGACCTTGTGAGATTGAACCGGAAACTCAGTCCATAGGACGACTCTCAATCCACTGAGCCACACCGGCTGGGCTCATTTGCACATGTTCTAATTGAACTTTTTGTTTCTTTGGTTTTTTGATTGAGGTGCAATTAACATAAAACATTAGTTTCAGGTGTAAAACATAATGATTCAATATTTGTATATATTGTGAAAGGATCATCACAATAAGACTAGTTAACACCTATCACCGTACAGAGTCAAAGCATGTTTTTTTCTTGTGATAAGAACTTTCAAGATTTACTCTCTTAGCAACTTTAAAATATGCGGCACAGTGTCACCATGCTGTACATTGCATCTCCGTGACTTATTTATTTTATAACTGGAAATTTGTACTATTCCCCCATCCCCAATCTGTTCTCTGTATCTGTGAGCTTGTTTTTTTGTTTTGTTTTGTTTGCATTCCAAGTGTAAGTGAATTTATACAGTATTTGTCTTTCTCTGTCTGACTTATCTCAACATAATGCCTTCGAGGTCCATCTATATTGTTGCAAATGTAAGGATTTTCTTCTTTTTTATGGCTCAGGATTATTCCATTGTATATATACACCATGTCTTCCTTTTTGTTTTTAATTCTCACCCAAGGATATTTTTCTATTTATCTTCAGATAGAGTGGGAGGGAGAGGGAGAGAAACATCGACGTGAGAGAGACACGTTGACTGGTTGCCTCCTGCATGACCCTGACCAGAGCTGGGGATGAACCACAACTGAGGTACATGCCCTTGACCGGAATCAAACGCACAACCCATTGGTCTGCAGGCCAACGCTCTAACCACTGACGCAAACTGGCCAGGGCACACCATGCCTTCTTCTTTCTCTTTTTCTTTATTGATTTGTAGAGAGAGGAAGGGAAGGAGAGATAGAAACACCAATGAGAGAGAAAATTGATTGGCCGCCTCCTGCACACACCTCATTGGGGATCGGGCCCACAACCTGGGCATGTGCCCTGACCAGAAATCGAACTGGTGACCTCTTGGTGCGTGGGTCCACACTCAGCCACTGAGTCACACCAGCCAGGCACAGCACATCTTCTTTATTTATGCATTTAAAAATAGACACTTAGGTTGTTTCCATGTCTTGGTTATTATAAATAATGCTGCAGCCAACACGGGGGTGCATTTAACTTTCAAGTTAGCGTTTTTGTTTTCTTTAGGTAAATACCTAGAAGTGGGATTGCTGGATTATATATAGTTCTCTTTTTAATTGTTTGAGTAACTTACATAATGTTGTCCACAGTGGCCATACTTATATTATTTGTTTTTTTAATGTGGAGTTGTGACAGTTCTTTACATATGCTAGAAATGAGTCCTTTGTCAGATATGTGGTTTGCACAATTAGGTCATTTAATCTTCATACCAAGCCATGAAGAGGATACTGGGATTATTCCAGTTGGGGCACTAAGGGGTGAGGCAGTTGGGGCTCTGAGGGGTGGCATTTGCCTGGCACAGAGCCAGTGTGCAGGAATAATAATTTATTGAGCACTCACTTTGTGCTAGAATCTGCTTGAGTCTATCCAAAATAAGATTAGGCACCAAGACGAGGTACAGGTGCAAGAAGTTTATTTGAGAAGGGATCCCAGGAAGCTGTGAGAGAGGGGAAGAGATGAGAAAGGGAAGTTGCCTCTGTGGACAACTAGGGCTCACTGGGCCTGGGCACCCTCTGCGAGACGGTGGGGGACACGCCTCGGAGGCAGTGCACCGGGCGATCAGGAGGCGTAGTGTTTATCCACCGTCTCCCATCCTGCGAGGCTGATAGGAGTGCCTGGGACATCAATTCTGCCACCCTTCACCTGCGCTGCATTTGGGCTAAGTGTATTGCCATGGGGGGGGGGGGGAGGGAAACCCGGGAAGCCGTTTTTGGGTACAGGGAAACTGAACTATGTCCAAGGGACATGAGTGGGTGCTGGCAGTCTCTACTACACTGCTTTAAGCACTTAGAATATTAACTCATTCAACCCCATCACAACTCCTTGAAGTGAGCACAATTTCTGTCTTCATTACAACCACGCTCCCAAATGCTCACACACACATTAAAAAAATGAAACTCCTGCAAAACGATACCAATCCTTGTTCTGTGCAGGGCACTCTGACATTTTCCAGATTTTAAAAAAATTGTGTTATTTTTAAAATGCTATTTGTCACCCACTAAATTGTTTTCATAACCCAGGAATGGGCTGCAATCCACTGTTTTGGAAAAGACAGTGCCCTAACATTCTATTTAATAGGACGATGTTGATGATGGTGATGATGTCATAGGTCTGGCTTCAGGCCTGGTGCCCAGAAGGTGCCCAGAGAATGTTGGTTTCCTTGCTTGCCCTTCTTGGCAAACCAGAGCGTTCGAGCAGCTGCCTCCCAGCCTTGCAGACAGAGGCCTGGGTGGGCCCCAGTGCGTCTCTTGCTCTGACCCAGACTTGCCCCATGGGTTCTGCTTCGCCTCCTCCAGGGGGAGGGACCCCATCTTGGACTGTGACCTTCAAGTCACCAGCTCTCCAGAAGCCAGCCCCTCCTTGGAAGGCAAAGCTATGCCCTGTCCCCACGGCGCTGTCACTTCCTTCCCCCGAGCCCTTCTGAGGAGGATTGTTCCTCTAATCAGGATGGAGACGCAGCTCATTACAAGCTGGTGAGGCAGCGGCTCTGTACTCCAGGCCCGAGACAGGCTGTCTGGGAGCTCGGCCAGCTTCCCGCTGCCCTGGACACCAGGGCAGTGGCCTCAGAGTGGAGCAGGCCCTCTGGGTTTGTTTGCCCCCATCCCAAGGGACACAGGCAGACAGACACTCTGCTGAGACTTCCACGACGTCCACTGTTGCAGAAACTCTGCCATGCTCAGACGATGAGTTTCATCAACATTCCGTGCTGCTTCCCAAAGTGTCCAAGCAGCATCTATAACTATAACTGGCATTTATTGACTGTTTATATTTATTGCGCTAAACACTGTGCTAAATCCTTATGTGCAACGTGGTGAGTAGTCTTTACAGCAAACCCACGACACAGGCAGGATTGTCCCCGTACAGATGCAGACCGAGGCATGGAATATTTGGGTAACCAGCTCATCAGGCAGCCACACCCAGCTGTTCC